AAAAAAAATATTTCTAAAGATGATCCAAAGGATGCTCTTGCTCACAATTGATCTAGATTACTACATTAAGATTTACTATTATTGTATTATTATTACTATATCTACATTCCTTTTAAGAATCTACCACTATTACTTTACGAAACCATCTGTAAATAAGTATTTTGTATTCCTGCAAAAATAAAATTACGAATCATTAACCACGTATCTAATATTTCTACCACTGGCACTCAGTTCGTGACAATTTCAGACAGGGTTTGAACACCTTATTTTCAATTTTATTCTTTTTTATTTCTTCACAGAACTTTGCTTGATGTTGCATGAATAACATATTTCTTTACCTTTATATTTAACTTTGATAATATCTTCTTTTTTTTTCAATTTCTAATTAGTACTTATAGTATGCGATAATATCGTTCAAAATTTTAACATTAACAACAAAGAAAAATAAACTAGCAATCCATATATACGTAAAAGTATTTAACCCTTGGAATTCCAATAAATAAGCAGCCAATAACCAGAGGCTTTGGCTGAGGATCCAAACTAAACATAAATATAATGATCTACGTAAACTTAATCCAAACCGCGGAAGACACAATGGTAGAAGAGACAAATACCAAAAAAAATATTGCGATGTTAGTACTGGATTATAAGTCACCATTACCATTGCTTGCGTGAACATTGCAAATGGTAATAGAGACTTGCTTGAACATTTATATGACAATAATAACAATAGTACCAATTGTGGTGAGAACGTGCAAATTTTTTCAATTATGTTAGGCGACTGATTAGCAGATAAATACAGCATGTAAAAGTAAACAGAGAAATTATGCTTTGTATCTTTGCGTATGACATGATAAATGAGACTTTCATAAAGATACTGATAACCATAAAAATAATAATTTATAGCTGTCAGAAAAAATATTAATGATACACAACTAAATACCAATTTTAACTGGTTTTTAGTCGGTATGAAATAACTCTTATCACGAAGAGAAAAATACATGGGTATACTAAACACTATAGGATATAATCTAAAATGGACTGATAAAGCATGAAACAAACCTGCTAGAATGAATTTATCTTGCAAATATAAATATAAAGTTAGCATAACTAAAAACACTGATATAGTGTCTGCATTTCCTCTGGTTGAAATTACAGTCGTAAAAGGATTATAAAGCCACATAAAGGCACAAATACGTTGTAATTTTTCATCACAATTTTGTAAAGTTAAAATTTTTTTTATCAAAACAGACACCGCAATATCAATAAAGGAAAATAAGATTTTCCCGAAATTTTCATTTATGAAAACATTTGGTGTTAAAAGTAAAGCCAATAATGGTGTATAGCGATATGTATCTCGTTCAAACGGAGATGATCCTTCTACCATGTGTCTTGCAGCATCGGTAAATACGTTATAATCTACATCAGTGTAAGGAACATGAAAAATCTCATCATGAAAATTTGAATAAAAAACTAAAGTTACTCTGAGAATAAAGGCTAATGCGCAATGTGCTTTAAATGATAATTCGCCCATTTTTAAGTATTTAAATGTACTTCTTAAAGACATAATTTTAGATTAAAAGAAATTAGATTTCTTTATAGCTTTGTATTGTTCTTTGCAGCAACTTTCATTAGACATGCCTTGAATTCCTTAAACTCACTTTCACAATCACCTTTTTGCAAATCAGACTTTGCTAATACACATGCAGCATATTTAGCTCCAGATTCATGGCACTGTGCAATGATAATTGGATACTTTCTAAATCGCTCTTTAGCTTTTTTTACTGCTTCCATCTTTAACTACATTATATTATTTCCTATACATATGAATGTATATTGCTATATATATGTGTGTATGTGTATTTACTATTTATTAATACATTACTTGTATCAGATCATATTTATACACTCTTATTTTTTGGAATTGGTGGGCACTGTGCCCACTCGTAAATAGTTTCTAAAATAATAGCTGAACCTATTGCAATACATAATCCTATGGTTCTTTTCCTTTTGGCATCTTCCAAACGTTGAATGACAAATTTAGTGTGCTTAATTCTATTACTCATGATAAATATTTTATTTCTGTGCTTTCCTCTGGAACAGAATCAAATCATGATAAGTTAGAAAACATTTTTAGTAATAAAATAATTATATGTAATGCATACGTATATGTAATTTATACATACGTAGTCTATTGTATTATGTTCATACGGTTTGGAAGTATCTATACCATCACAAACTACTGAAATAGCAGAATGTTTGATGCAACACTGCCTAATTTCCTCTAGAACTTCCTCACAACGTGACGGTTGATAAACGTTATCTGAAGTTGAATAACTAATCAATATGTGTGTTATGTACCTTAAATGCAATCATTGAGGTTAAAAATAGTTATCATAATTTCAAATGAAATAACATGATACAAATGATACAATGATACAAACCTTTCAAACACTGTTGTAATTTACACGCAAACTTTTTACAAGGATCAGTAGTCGTCATGCGAAAAAATCAAATGCATATGCAAACGACGTAAGTACAGCTTATGCAATCAAAAGTTACAATTGGATCGATCGTAAATTGTATTACAAATCTAATGCACATAAAAAAATATTGCAAAATTAGGTTATAAAATCTAGGTATTCAATTGAGAGCTCAGGAAAAATACTATTAATAACGTATTAAACTTCTATCTTTCGTTACGATGAATTTTTAATAGAATGTGAAAAAGATATCCGACATTTGACTCACCTCACACAAAGCAATGCCAGATAGATGGCACTCTAAACGTATTTTGTCATAGCAGCCAACAAAACTTTCATGTACACATAGTCATTAACAAATGCAGGTTATATTATAAAATCTTTGCTAATATCAACAAAAGTATAACAATGTTGGGAAAAATTAAAACGAAACAGGAAAAAGGAGGTAAATAATAAATCAATTAATCTATCGCTTTTTCAACATTAAATTTATTCTGTTAGATAGTTTCTCATAGGTTATATTTTTATTTGTTAATATTATATATAAGTATATAAATGTCATGATTTATATGGAATAATTTTTATTATTTCATAATTTGTCCAGATATAATTTTTATAAAATTGCTTATTAACAAAATTTAAATTTATTTGTATTTCATTAAATAAAATAATTTTGCTTTCTCATTCTTTAAATTATTCAGAAATTCAATATTACTTTCATATTGAGTAAATCCATCCTCTGATATTAAATTTATTTTTCTTCCTCTCAGAAATTATTGCATATAGTGAATCAGCTGTTGTAAATAATGCTGCTGTGGTAGAATATTGTAGGATATCAATGGCAGCATTATCAGGAAGTACAGCTGGTTTATTAGGATTAACTGGATTATATGGCTTTGGTTTCTACATTTTTGCTGTATTTGGTTTATGGGTAAGAGTAATTCTTCAAAATTATTTAAAAAAACACTAAACAAATATTTTTTGTAGGCAATGTTATTATTTAAGGCTGGAAGTCAATGGAAAAAATATTTCATAAGCAGACGAAATCTTCTAACTAGTGGATTTTTTGGAGGCCTTTTTGTATCCTTTATATATCGTCCAACAAAGAAAAATGGTTCGAGTATTAAATATTTATTAACGGGTATTTTCCTTAGCAAAATTTATTATCATAAAACAGACATATGTACTGTTTTGGACGTATCCTTTTAAACAACTGAATATTTTTATTTAAATATAAGAATATGTTATATATTTATATAACTCGTTATTGTGCTTTAAATTTATATTTGTATATTATATATTTTCTTTAATATATATATATTATATATTTTCTTTAATATATATATTATATATTTTCTTTAATATATATCAGATTTTTATATGGTATGGTACATGTATACTGATTGAAAAGATATTTGATTAGAAAAGATATTTAGATTTAAGGATTTATATTTTTTAACTAAATATATCGTTAACTAATTAAATATGTCACAAACCATTACCAGTTACTGGACAGAGTAATAATATTGTTGATAAAGCACTATGTGATTTATTGTATATGTATGTACATAGAACACTATCAAAAATACATTTATTCCATCTGTTCCACCCGTTTGACTTTGTTCATTATTGTACTATTATATTATTCCTATCAAGTATAACAATTATAAATGCAGTTTATATATATTTATTCTTCGGTTTTTATATATACATGTAATAAATAACATGGTATACAAACAGTATAAACAAAATATTATAAAATCTTAAGAATGAATTATTATCTAATATGATAATGATTTATTATATTGAACACAATTCTTTTAAACATCCAAAGTATCATTAAAATAAAATCCTTTATTCGACTATTAAAATGAATAAACTATAACACATACATGATCTCGTATTAAACATTTCATTTTGAACAAAAAACTTATGTTTAATTATCTGTACAATATAATTTTCAATCGATCCTTAGCAATACTTAAAATGTTGCAGCATACCCCAAGTAGTTCACAATGATATCGCTTTGTACTTAACATGCTCACATTCTTATTACATTCCATTTCAGTAGGTGTCATATTTAACAATATTTTAAAACATTCTACCAAAAATTCGATCGAAATTCCAAAACTTTGTTGGCAGTGGAAAGATAAAGTTTCATTTCTACCAATTCCGCTCAATATCGTTCTAATAATTTAATTTGTTATTGTTGTAATAATTGTTTGTAATTTGTTGTTATTGTAATAATTATTTGTTATAAGTGAGCATAGTTTTCTTCTACGTTACCGTACAAAAGAAGTTGAAGAAGAAACATGAGCATTCTTTAAAATCAAATTTTCGTTTCGGAACTTTCCTCGGGAACAGGCACGCTCTCGCGCTTACAACTTTCCGAAATGTCTTCGAGAGGTGTTCCCATTTCGAGACCCTCTAATTTCCTTTCCTGATCCATTCTATCCAGTTCATTTCTACTCAAATGATAAACTATTCCAGCCCCATATCCATCGCCCAAAACGTTGATCGAAGTCCTGATTCGATCCCTTTCGAAAAATTAAGATATATTATTCAATCTGGTTTTCTAAAACAGGCTTTAGTACTAAACAATGCACTTACAACATCCAGTCAACTGCAAACAGTAGAGAAACGTCATTTGTCGGTAGACCTAAAGCTGTGAGTACTATTAACATTGTAATCAAAGCTGAACTGGGAATACTTGCTGCTCCTATACTTGCCAAGGTGGCTGTAAGGCTATGTAGATCAAGGAATATCATGAATAAATAATAGTCTTGGGCATACTTCTGTAACATCGATCATACAGACCTGACTGTTATAACTTCACCCATCCCTAATGAGATTCCATTCATTTGAGCGATGAAAATCGCAGCAACCGCCTCATAAAGAGCCGTTCCATCCATGTTCACGGTAGCTCCGACTGCTACTACGAATCGCGTTACACGTGGATCGATTTTATTGTTTTCTTCGAGGCATCGGAAAGTTATTGGCAAAGTCGCAGCGCTGATGCCATTACAAACAACATACAATATTGTATAATATTCTCACAAAATTTAGAGAAAAGAAGATATCAATTGGATACCTTGATGCTGTTCCCAAGGCTGTAATCCAAGCTTGCATCATACCCTTGAAAAACACACCAGGATTCTGTCGAGTTAAAAACCAAAATATCGTTGGCAGAGTGATTATGGCGTGAATCAACAAGCCCAATACAACCGTCACCATGTACAAGCCCAGCATCTGAGCAGTTGCTGCCAAATTGTTGATCGACATTATTTTACCAGCTATCAGACACATGATTCCGAACGGTGAATACCTGCGTGAGATTAAGACTCGAATCCCCTGTCCTTTCTTTTGTTCATGTCAAATTACACGTCATGTCAGATAAGCAGCAAAGGAATCGCTATCAGGCTCGAAATTAACTTGTGTTTCGATCGCTCACCACATCACGATAATACCGACGAGCTTCATGATTATTTCGTTCAGAACCACGAAGAAATCGACCATCAATTTCCCTCGGGAACCAATCTGTCCAGCAAGGAGACCGAACGTAATACAGAACACTATCATGCCCATTACGTTCATCCCATCCTTGTATACCAATGTCGGCTCTTGGACTTGATTAATTTCATTCGTCCCTATGGCCACCACTTCCTTCGTCACGTAAGTGGTTTGCGCCTGTTGGAAGCACGCCTGCACCAAATTTTCCGGCAGCATGTTTCTAAAAATGGTATTCGTCGATGACGATTTTTTTGGCGCGGCTCGTTACATATTTCACGTACCTAATTATGTCAAGGATCGCGTCTAGCGTGGATATTTTTGTGAAATCCGTCTTGGGCGCGGTTATAGTAGTCTTAATCCTAGGATCACCGGGATGGATCATAAGCACCATTATGATGCCAACTATGGCTGCAAGTATGGTCGTTACGGTGTAATATATCAACGCCCTGTATCCCATTCTTCCCGAGCCCTTAGGATCTAATTGCGCCATTCCTAGAAAAGGGAGAGAACTTGAAGAAAGAGACCAGCCGACTGCGATGATTTATTGGATGTTGCATAATCACCGGAGATAAGCGACGAAACAATGAGTGGCAGAATGAACATCTTCAACACTCGCATAAGAAGCTCTCCAGGGAAGCTGACGAGAGTGATGGATTGCGGCGAAGGATTGGCTAATCGACCAAGGAATCCAAGAATAAGACCCACGAGTACTCCCGCGATTGTAAAGACCAAAAGTGTATTCTCTCCTAACCAGTCCACTACCTATGTTCAT